GAGCCGGCGAAATGCACAAAACTCGGCCGTTCGCCGCCTTATATGTAGCCGCAGGAGAATCTCTATAGCGCGATTCAGGATTCGACAGTAAATGAACAACGCCATCTATTTGATCATTTGGAACTAAAATAGTAGTGCGCCAGTTTTACGTCCCATAAATAAGAAGCTTAAAGCTTTGTTATTTTTTATACCGTTTGTCCCATTTTTGTTTTTTTTAACATTCTTTGCCAGGTAGGCAAACTAAGCGTGAGAAATATTTGGTAATAATTTTGTGAAAGTGTTACATTTTACACAAGAAACTGAATGTTTTTTTTCTAAGTAAAAAAACACAACATGCTAATATTGACATTTAACAGATTCCAAGTGATTAATATGAAAGTGGTTATGGATACGTAGGTATAGGTTATTATTTCACAACTTGTTAAGTATATTATTACCTACCTTCATTAATGAAAAATACAGGTTATTACACCTAATAAACTTACTTAGATACCTATGTATTTTATAAGTGACTTCTAGCCTGCCATTTTTTTAAATTATTTACATATTTTTTCTACCAATCGTTTACATAAATGTGGTATTTATTACAAAGGATACAACAAACAAAATGCTATAGAAATTAAAACGATTTAAAAATTGCGTGCGTAAAATCGCCTCGAAGCGCGTCGTAACGTAACGAAAAATAAAATAATAATTGTTTTACAATTGCTTTTATTTCTGGAGTTAACAGCATTTTATATTTTCTTCGTTTACTTTCACTTTGTAATTTTGTATGGTATATCCTTTCATATATTTTGTATTTATAGATATGATGCAGTGTGAGTGGTTTCCTGCATGTCTACACAGGATATTCTTGTGGTTACCCCAGCCTATGTCGACCCTACTTTAAGACCACTTCATTGAAACCTAACCGGTACGCCATTTCCTCTCTGAGCTAACATCCTCCTTAAGCAACTTTTTACTTAAAGATGTAGTATTATTAAAACATCATAATATACATAGCTATCACGTGTGGCACACTAAGTTTTAATAACTTTACGCAATACTTATAGGTATGTAAATAAATTCGTTTAGTTTCTTTAATAATACATACTGGAATTAAAAGAAAACGTTTATGACATAGATACTTAAAACAACCTTTAAGTTTTAATATTATAAACTCGAGAGTTTTTAAGTAGATATGGGTAGATGTTTGTTGACAAATCCAACTGCCGTGATGATTGTAGTCTAGAATAGAGGTTTCTTAAGAAAGCCGGCGAAAGGCGAAGCCGCTATCAGAAGTATTTCCTAAGCATTTTTTCCTACTATACATTTAAAAGACACATCCATTATTCAGCCAATAATCACGATCTGTAATCTATCGTAACGGAAATTTGTTCCCTTATCGCGTCTACAAAAATTCGCATTAGCTACCCCTCTATCTGTCGTTACATGGAAATTAAAATCCTGATTCGTCGGAGCAAAACGTGTTGAATTTAAAGTAATAATATGGACCAACTGGCGTATATTTGTTTATGGTCCATAATTATGGAGCCTCTGTGTGCGTAGGGATTCGATAATACTGAGCAATTTCCGTGCGCAACGCAATCAAACCGAGATGTAATTGAGTTTAGTTTGCATCCAATTTCTATTGTGTGATTTTTGGTCATGCGCGCTAGTGAAATAGATAATGTCTAATTATTGCTATATCTAATGCTTCTGTTCTATTATTTATTAAAATTTTAATCTAATGATTCTGTGTATGTTGTATTGAAATGTATTTACTTGTTTTTGTATTGAAATGTGCCGATAAATGAATTTTATAACATCATGGCCGACAGCGCCATCTATTTAAATCTTACACAAATACCGCAGCGCATAGTATCATTTGCGTCGATTAATCTAACTCCCCGAAATAGCTTTCCCAATTTGCAAACCGAACAAATTAATTAGAATACATGTGACCTACAAACAAGAACATCGTTTTAAAAGGGGTGTTTGCGATTCCACGAGATCATTGGAGTTCCGTAGTGTACCGGGAGCTGGCAGCCGAGAGCCGGGAGTTGATGCCGTCTGGCCACTAAGCAAATACCCCGGGCGCATTCCCCGCTTCCTTCCTCCTTACTTTGCACTGATAAAACTGAAATTTAGTTCACATTTCGAATTGAAGCGCACCAGATTATTTCACATGTTGCCGTTTTATATTGGATCGTGTGCCAGTGGCGTGTTTTCGTGGTGCAGCTTAATTTTCAACTACCTATATGCGCATAGAAGATATGTAATAAAAATGCAGCGCTTACTAGTTCACTTTTTATTAAGTGAAATCGGGTACTTATTTACCTTATTAAAACAAAGTTATAATTAAATGTTTATTTAACCTTGACGTTAAAGACTTAATAGGATTGATACGTAATACGTACGATTTAAATATTGTTTCCCTAGTTTTTTATTTCCATTTTACTAGCTAGAATTAGCGATGAAGTTATGTAATGCCCAAATATATCTTTAATAAGTACAAGGTACATTGCTTACATAAATACCTACAATACATTTATTTATTTTTGGATAAGCGTGCAAAGTTGTAGATAGAAAAACAAATAATATTAACAAGCGAATATATCTTGAAGGATATTCAACAGTAACGGCTTTATGGATTGAAATAAGTCTCGAATGAGAGGCACGGTACGTTTCATAATCGCATTACTAAAATGTCCGGACAAAAGTACAAGAATTTTCCCGAGATCCGTAGACATAGCTACCTCGGTAGGTGGTGTAACGTCATTTTACTCTCGGAAAGCGAAAACGTAACCGTAAATTACATTTATTTAGAGCAGTATCTGACTTGATTTATTCTCTTTTTATGGTACTTAGCACATTCACGCCGGAAGAAAATGTATACCTGGTGAGAATGAAAAGAAAAATGTATTAGATTTTTTTACAGTCATTGTGGCTGCCTTATAAATCACAGCTAATAATAACGTTATTCAGATACTCGCTCATATTGTTATTATTTTGAGTTACTTGAATTCTTCAACAATGTTTTAACCCCTACGGAAACATCTATCAAAAAATCATCAGCATTTGATACTTACCACCATTATAGAAATATTAAAAACAGGTAAAGCAAAATAGCGTATTCTCATAGTTCTCACCATAAAAAAAAATACAAAATTGATTGGAACTAATAGATACAGTCTGCACTGCTATTCGGTATGCAGCTATGAAAATAAAGTTTGATTCTGTAGAAACCATTCAGTCCGGCTTGCGGTCAATGCGCAATGACGTACAGCAGCCCAGCTCGGATGAGGAGATAGAATGGAGTGGATTATACTGAATAAGAGTATGACACTCTCTTTCACCAGTTCACCATACACCGGGCAGGAGAAGTCATTTTCTCCCTCAAATAAAAGGATACGGATCCGACTAATTGGAAGAAAAGATAAGTCTTAAGGAAAATACATGTGTAATAAATATTAGCTACTTTTTCTGTGGCACAGAGTTACATTTTCGTATTTGCATACAAAATAACGACGCAGATCGCATTTACGTAGATCTAACTACAATTATATTAGCAATAGCACAAATGTCTGTACTTACATAGGTACGGCTATTCAGAGCACAGTCGTTATTGTGTCGTGTCGTTTTAGGATAAACTGTTCATGTATTGAAATAATGGTGGCATGTCGCGAACTGTTGTAGCTAACGAGTAGATATGACCAACATGGCCGGGGAGCCCGTGTCGAACACCCCTCGATGATTAAAACCAGCCCAGTTGATTACGTTGCATGTTTCTACCCTTTCATCGCGTATGAATACCGAACGATAGGTTTATTTAGGTTAAACATGTTTCGCATACTTTTCTAAATTGTTTCGGTTATTGGTTGTATTTTTGTTATAAGATAAAATGTGAAATATTATAATAACGTCCCTATAGGTATATGTGGTATAAATATATAATTAAACTAAGTTGCTGATCTAATCTTCATTCATTACTCCATTAATAAAAAAAAGCAATATCCAACATAGGTAATTCTCTAAATACTCTTACATTAAAGCTAAAAAGATTTAGGTCACCAATGAAAGAAAACAGGTTGCCGAAAATAAACAGCGATCACTGCGAGCACTCAATTGACGTGTTTATAATAAAGGCTTACAAAAACCAGAACGAGGATTACGGCGGACAAACTAGATCACAGCCATAAGTCGCGATGTTGTGTGGTGATTACCATGAACGTCGGGGGTAATCAATTGATTCGCGAATTGTGGTGCGCGCAGTATCAAAAGATTCATAAGCCGATACAGGAAACGGCGCGATTAAGCTGAACGGAGCGGAAATTACGCGCCGCCGGCAGCCGTCTCCGAATCTAACAATGCACGATATTGATCACATCACTACCTACCTACCTATTGTTCGTATTAACTCCATGTTGATTGCTGACGCTGGCGGAATGTGCTCCCGCCGCAAGCCGGAACTATTTGTTCAGAGAATGCGCTGTGAATCATATCCTCATATGTTCCCCTGTCTCCGTCCTCGGTCACATCTGCAGCATCTTACTCGTAAGATCCCTCAATCAGGACTTAACTTAGTATTTTGTCGCAAGTAAACCCAAATTAAGCTCATGTTGAAATATGACAAAACACATCGTGAAAAAGGATTAACCGAAATTCGTGCCCAAAAGTGTGAAATGAATATAATTTAATTATTTTGGGTCAGATATATTAAGCCGGGTACCTCGGCAGTAAAGAAAATTAATATTTTGCAGTTGAACGCCTCCCTGCTAAAATATTTTATACCGCACTCGTACTGTCCACCACAGGCTGTTCTAGAGTCACTAGAGCATTTTAATTTTGTGCTATTTAATATCTTGGTAACATTCAGCGGTGCGACAAATAGCCTACACAAGCTAACTTTTTGTTGTTAGAAGCTGTAAGTTAACACATTTGATTATCTGAGTAATCGGTAGTTATATGAAGATACTTAAAGTAATGAAACACTAACATAGTGTGAGATGAAAGCAGCATCAATCACATCTGCGAGCTGCGGTGGGTGTCGGATGCGGCGACGTCGGCAGCGTGCCGAACGATTTGATGTGTGACGCTTCCTTAGATCGCTTAGCACCATTGAGACGTTTTTGATTGCATTCCCGACATTCCTTGGCTCTTAGGCCCTTTACACTGTGAGCGATCACAGTTTAAATCGGAATTTAGATTGCATGTTAAGGAGGCCAACGGTTTTTTGAGAAAAAGGGGAGTCGTCTATTGAGATTCCAAAGCAAAGCGGGAGGTGTGGTGTACCCTGAATAGTTAGTTTACGTGATAATGAGATCTGGAGCAATTCACTAAGAATTTTAATTGTTATTGGGGCGGTCCGCTGCAAATCAAAGTTGATTTAAAAAATACCAATCTTTTCACAATACTGTGATTACGTAACAGAAATAGGAGCTAGCTAGCTAAGCAAAAAGATTGAAGTAATGTAGAAGCTATCGGTACAGATGTCGCAAATGCCTGTGTACACTAGATGCGGCTGAGTCTGCGGGAGGACGCCAATCAATCATGGCGGCCTCTGACAGAGCCAGCTGTTGGCGACGCGCCGGCACTATACACCCGCTTCACGCTACCATCATTAACTAGTGGTCACAAACAAGCACTGATTAAAACAACGTCTGCTTACTGACATGCCGCGCATACAATACTAATTCTACCTCCCGTTTATCAAAAGCCACATTATTAAAAGCCTTTACAAAGAAGAAAATCTTTTCCACGGACTATGTCCTGTGAAATCAACTTCGTTCATATTTCAAGATAAGTAGTACAATACGGAACGCGAAAATTTCGAGCATTTCCAGAGCTGTTCTTATTCATGGGTCCAACCGCAACCACAGATAAAAATTCCCTGTAAAAGCTCAAAACTTAAAGTATTTTTAAATTTAGAAGATTGAGTTCGAGCTCTGGCTTTTTGTAGTACTTATTTAACGTCCTCATTTATGATTGTGATTTTTAAAGAATTTGCAATAACTAGGTAAAGACTGAGTGTTTAACATTACATCTATACAAAATAAAACTTAAAATGAAAGTTTTATTATATTACAAAGAGTATATTTCGTTGTTGCAGAGCCTGGCGCCTAGCGGTGGTCGGATACGGAGCGCTCTGGTAAGATATCCACTTGACTTTGTTTCTCTCTTGAAAACTATTCGCTGATTCGCCCGACTCAACTAACTACTTTGGCTCAGTGCCTCGCCGCTAATTATGCTTCTACTTAAATAATAGTTAATATTTTTGTATTGTACTTTATTAGTATTTAGGCAGTTTTGCAGAGCTTTAGGCTCTTTTTGTTGGAAAAGTAATTCCTAAAATATTTTACAAACTCAAAAGTACCATTAGATGAAGCGAATACATTTACAAATGGCATGTAAAAATGTGTATATTTACATGTATACTTAAATAAAAATACCTATTGGTATATCTTGTAATCTGGTTTATTTGTTTGATTGCTGGAAAAGACTACAGCCGAAGTATCGAACAATTTACTTAATAGGTACGTCAGAAACTGGCCCAAAAGGCTTCAACCAATTACCTATTGTTAGTGGTAGTGCAGATGTAAGGGCCTACAGGGCAATTTATACACGCCACTCATTTCATTACACAGAGATAAGGGTCTCGTGAATATTTGCGCTCAATTTGGCACATTTATGTTTTAGCGTCGAGTGGCGTCAATAAAAACCACTGGCTGAATACAAATCGTTGTTTTTATTTAATTTTATACGCACCTCGATTGTAAAGTAGTGAAATATTTCTGTAATTTGTATAAACATAATAAGTAATAGATAAAATATAAGTAGGTAAAATTACAGTGTTCATCGAGACATGTTACACTGCTGTTTTGTATTAGGGCGATGTTAGTAATTAGATTCGGCTATCATAGAGGCAATAACAACTCAGTGTAACTCGTAATTGGCAGTAACTGCAGCTCCAGTGTATAATTGGTCGGAATCAAGTTGGGCGCGTGCGGTATCCGTTGACGTCACACTCGAATGGGAAACGCTAACTAGTAGCACTCAGCTAGGCTAACACGGGCCCGGGCAAGGCTCACAATACGGATAGTGTGTCCTCTCAACTCGGACGAGCTCAAATAATCACGTTATCGTTGCGATATTCCCCGGAGCTCGGAGCCACGGTACGGGGAGGGCTGTACGAGTAATCCGCTTTGGTCGCGACAGCCACAACTTTGTCGATCGCTCTTCTGAATTCTCTACTTTAAACTTGCATGCCGCGACAAAAGAGTAATAAGATTCGTTCACGGCTAACTTTCTTAAACCTTTAAACTCGAAGTTAGATTTTATTCGGTATACTAATACTTTGAAAAATGTCGGCGCTTGTAGGGAGTTGGCGACATACTTTTTGATACCGTATATTTTGGACACGTACTCAGCGTGTAACCTACGTGCGCATGATCGCGGCGTGCTATCTAGTTACACTCATATTTAACTTACGTAAGCATTCAGTATTTATACGTAAGCGGAGTGTTTGATGAACAATAAAGGTTTTATACATTCTTATTTGGTATCGATCAGGGATTCTATAATATTAATGCAGTAATTTAGCCGGCACGGCAGCACGAACCCCTGAAACTAAAGTCGACTGTTAACCCGCAGAGATAATAAGCTTCAATCGCTAGTAAAGTAAGGTCTCGTGCTATGATAAAGGAGGCAGTCATCGCAGGCACGGCGTCGGCGACACTGCACGGACTTGCTTACTGCATTATTTAACTGCATTCTGCAGTTCAGTACCCAGCGCAAACTTTGTATCTGTAGTGCAGTGTTTGTGAATTTATGAAGCGACGTGTCTATTACAGTAATGCCCGACGATTTATTACTGCTTCACTTATTGTTTAAAACGTTAAAACTTTTCCATCATATGCTACAGTAGTGCTTACCCCAGTTACTGCCTAAAATTTTCAATTAAATAGGCCTCCAACTTCTATTCTGTAGGTATAGCTATGAAGATGATGATGAAGAAGATGCAGCTACACGATTCGCACGTAGTTTATCGGCATCTATTTATCTGGGCGTCTCAAACAGAAATAGTGATATGAAATGTCTATAAGTTATAAAAGGCTATGTGTAGTATTTTCGATGAGAAAGTCATTTTACTGGGCGTCCCTTCCTGCGCCAACCCGACCGGTTCCCGTCTTCCATCACTCATTCCGGTCACGAAATAGGTGGATATGTGTGTAGCGTGTACCTACATGATATTACGCACACCACACATTCGCGAAAGGGTTTCGCTTAGAAACTGGGTAAGGTAATCTTTTTTCTCTATACTAAAATAATGAAGAAATTGTCAACGAAAAGGATAACATATTATTTATATGTTATTTTGATTATCATTTCCTGTCTAATCACAGTATATCTTGTATTAACGTAGCATTTGACTTATGAGACTCAACGTCATCATGAAATACGTCGCAAGCAACTTTAAGCATCACACTAAAATATTCCAGAGAATATCAAACATGTATAGTATTATATATCACGAAGTTTAAAATGTAAATGCATATTTTAGTATTACCAAATAGCGCATGGCAAATGTACATTTAAATGAAAATTTTTATTTTGTGATAAAGTCGGAGTATTTTGTTTGGGAATGCAGTGTAGAGGGGCGTTTCAAGCAGCGCTTGTGAGGACATATGATATTGGTGGTGTACAAGTGTAGTGATGCTTTCATGAGACGTTAGCGAGCTGTCTCACTGCTAGTTGGCTGGCAATACTCCACGCCTGCTCCGTATACCTTACATACCACGTATTTTTGTGTACTCCTTGTAAAGATAAAGAGCCACGTCAAGAGTTTCCAATAAACTTATTTCGAAAATATGATACAGAATTAAGTTCTATATTATCTCATAGTATTTTGACTCTATATTAACATTCTGAAACTAGGCCCTTTATTTAATTTAAATTCTTTATTTCTGAGAAGAGTTCCATATAAGTGTTAATAATTAGTAAAATCGCATAATTAAAATGTACCTACATATATTATATTGTACTAAAGTATTTGCTTCACGTTTTAGGCATAGTAACTATAAAAGCATAAATACGATTGAATTAAGAATCCTTTTGGAATTCGGTTAAAAACATAGACAAAATATTTGAGAGGTTGTTTTTTTAAATAATATAAAACTGTAAAGACGTACGTTTCGATAAGTAAATGGGAGCATGGTTGGAAGGATGTTCGATGTTTCACCATCGTGTTGGAGAGCCCGTAAAACTGTCAGGGACTTATTCCTGCTATACATGGATATATGACTGCTCTACAAGAGTAAACTACAACCCGTAAATTTGACTGCGTATGTGCTACGAATCTATCTAGGAATGTCAACTAAAAACTTTTTACACGAGTGTTTTAATTTAATCAAAATAAATTTAATTTAAAACTCTCAGTCTAGATTCTAATGTATCTATTAACTTACCGATATGTACCAGATAAATTTAAATATAGAACGTAATGTGTACGCTTATATGAGTATATGAAAATGTACTTAATCTAGCACTAACTTCGTTTAATTTATAAATTTAATAAACAGTGTTTTGTAATAAGTTTAAGTGTGGGAGAGCCATGCTTCGGCACGAATGGGTCGGCTCGACCGGAGTGATACCACGGCCTCACAGAAAACCGGCGTAAAATAACCACTGCGTTGTGTTTCGCCGTGTGAGTGAGGTTACCGGAGGCCCAATCCTTCCCCTTCCCCAATCCCTCCTCAATCCCTAAATCTCCAAATCCCTAATCCCTAATCCCTAAAAGGTCGGCAACGCACTCGTAACTCCGCCGTTGCGAGTGTCCATGGGCGGCGCTGATTGCTTACCATCAGGTAATCCGTATGCTCGATAGGAACTCTTAACACGTGAAGACATGAGTTATCATGTTCTTAATCGCGACACAAATGTATTCTTCGCACGCACAAAGAAAAAAAAACGAAATACGATCCCCTGGAGTAGAGGGCAGAAAAATATATTCAAACTCGACCCGATTACTTAGTCCAAAATATAAATTTAAAAAGTACAAAGCTATTCCCTATTGTATAAAGCAAACACAAGCGTTATAATTGTTAGAATTATTTTCTATTTAACGACATAGATAAATGATCTATGTCGTTAAATAGAAAATGATCGTACTTAATGCTTCGTTTAATTTAAAAATCCTTTTTCGGTTCCCTGGCCTGATAAGATATACTTTGGCATTATTTGCCATAATAATGACGTATATAAAATCAAATTTAAACTTACTACTTACTGCATAACTCTGACTTATCACTTCATAATTTTCACAAAAAGACGTAGTTACTTGAAACACGAACAAACATTATTAATTTTAATGATATTTAAGTCAAAATTTAATAACACCATTAATTAAAGTGTCAATCAATTACATAGATCTTGGAATATTTCGTTCTAACGACGTAGGCATGCCTACGCGACGTAGGCCGCGTAGCAACTCGTAGCGTACTGTCGTCAGTTCATATTTGTAACACTTTTATTTTTAGGGATAATTTATATTACAGTCTTGTTATAACTTTTGAATTTGTATTTAAATGTCATCAAGTAAATATTGGGCTTATTCGATTAAACGTATTTATTATGGCGTGCTACGATACGTAGGCACACTTTGTAGACTTTTTTCTTTTGGCTGGATTATGTTAATATAATTTTCAATCAATTAGACCTCGACCCATAAAATAAAAAGGAGAAAATATAATAATATAAGTAAAAGTATGGGAGTCAAAGTAAGTGCGCTATCACGCGTGTCACAAAATGGTGACAATAATATCGTAATTCCATGTAAAATATTTAACTATTTAAACACTACTCCTATCAAATACTAAAGCCAAATATAAATAATGTTTCTATTTGTTGACAAACTGGCTATATCCGTACATGAATATGACAATGTGGAAAAATATTTTTGTGCGTTGTCATCGAGTCTGGCAGCATAATCACCGCCCATATAAACTGTGGAAGGGATTTGCTGTGATCAGTGACAGCGCATTAAGGCGCATATTGGCAATATAGGCGCATTGAGCGTCAGCCTGCTCAATACCGCCGCCCCTCGCGTCACACTCATAAACCTGTCATTCAGTGCTCCATTATGATTCCTATGGAAAACATCGACCGAGCAATTGTCAAGTTTTACATTAAAACTTCCACCAGACATCATGTGTTCGCTGTATAAGACAATATACCCAATGGTTTAATTATAGTAAGTAATTATCCATGCAATAGCTGTCTGGTGCAGTGTTTGAAATTGATCAAGAATAACCATGCTCAGTTAAGTCGTCCTTTGTTAAATAAATAAAAAAATAAAACGAATTTTTGAAAATGTTGTTGCTATTAGAAGCGATGTGGGCCACCTAATTTTTGGCTAACATGATGAAATTGTAATATGAGCGCGGGGAGTATCGACATGCAGTGTGGAGCGTAGTGGTAGCGCGGAGGTCACGCCGCGCGCCGCCGAGCAGGGCCAGGCGGACGGCGAGCACGTGAGCTCCTCACCGGGGACCATTCATGTGCGAGGGCGGCGGCTTGCGCGCGCACCGATCAATACGCGCTGGGCGCGGGCGGGCAGTGCCCGGCCCGCCGCGCGACGCCTCGCACGCGCCTCCGCCGCCGCGAGCCCATGACCGCCCTCCACAGATGACGGAGCCCGCCCGCACCCTACGAGAGCGCCGCACTGTCCCCGCACTCAGCACGACCACTCTCGCCGCGCGACCCCGCATTCGCTCGTACCGCGCGACGATAAGGTAGGAAAATCGATCGTGCCAAGTGCCGCAGCATCCGCTGACCGCTCCGTCGTCGTCAGCCGCACACCGCTGCCTGCCCGCCCTGCTCGCAGTGGCAGCAGCCTGCTCGCTCTGAGCTGCTAGCCATACGGCACTATCTTCCACATGCTAAATATAATTATGGCCACGTTGCGCTTATAACTTTGATTAACCTTCATTAAAACTTACCGTTTTAATAATTTTTAAATGTTTTATTTCGTTTGTATGTAGTTTTATTCACTTTTTAGTATCAACGGTTAATTGCATATTGAAACCTGGTAATCTTTAATATGTGAATGGAAATTATGAATTGGAAATTTGTCTCGACGAAACTAAATCCAAATGGAACGCTTAATCATACGTAACTAGAGTTTCATTAAACAATTAAGTACTTACAATACTAAGTTTTCTTAAATTGAAGACAGGTAGATAGTAATTTTTGTTATTTATAGTTCTCAATGAATTAAAAGATTGACTTGTGAAAGTGTTTCTAGGTAATTTCAAATCATAAACATATGTTACATTTGAAGTAGGCAGGAGAAGTTCGTAATTATAACTTCGTACAATCAATGTTCGTCCCAAATCCCATTTTCTTATTGATCATAGCCTCACTTTAGGTAGCTATACCAGCCAAGTACTACCTATTTAAGGGTGATAGCTAGTACCTGGCCTTCAAATATATTAATGTGAAATCCAAATCTAATCCCGTAATAAATAGACGCTTTTAAGTGTAGTAAAAAAACTTTAATTGCGTATAGGTATGTATAATTTTATAAGAAGACAAAAACTTTCAGTGCTGTCAAAAACCGTCCGAACTTTACTTATCAAAGTAACCTGTCCATTATTCTTATTCAAATAAGCTACGAATTCGGTGTAGGTATTTGTGTAAAATGGCAGGGTTGTCAAGATAGATGGAAGCACCCTATTCATATTAGAGAAACTGTATCGAAACTCATTTATCAGATTGAGCCCAGTCACAAAGCGACCCATCAAACAAAATTTCCCACAGATAAAACTCAAAAATATACAAATAAAAGGAGCTTGGGAAACCTTTCGAAATGGCCCTTTTATGAAACGAAATATATATTCGAAAAGGACAGCGGTTTCCTTCAATATTATGTTGATTTATTTTATTGTTTGTCGTTACTTGAAAGTCGTGTCTAGGATTTGCTACGGTTCATTTTGCATAAGGAAAGTTACAGTTTCTTTTACCCCTTACTTTATCATAACTTTAAATTGATCTTTACATAGTGAAGACATCGAAACCGTTTACCTCTCGGAGCCTTTAGCTATTTATAGTACTTAAGGATATAATTATTTCTTGTATACTTAATTACTTAACATATTAAAGAGCTTATTGTATCAAACTCTAAAGCGCCGTGAAATCATAATGTATCTATGTATAATTACGAAGAAAATGCATTATTCTGTAAGTTAGTAAGTATGTAAGTGATATTTGAATATTGATGGCTCTGGCAAGTTGTAGGGGCTGGGGTGTAGGTCGATTATATGTCGTGATGCAGTGCAATTACTTGCCACGGGAAATAGTCCAAGGACGAGCGGCGGTTTAAAGGCCACCCACCTCTGTACGGCTTAGCTTATCGGCTATGCTAATATGTATAATATTTATATACGAAGGTACTTAACTACGTAATTACTTACTTTCGCCATTAAACCAAATTTCTTATTACAGTTCTCGTGGATTTATTACTATTGAATTAACACATTAAACTTGTTCAAAGACTTATTACCAACATTCAGAAAAGATTAAAGCATATAGTACGTTTTTCAATTTGATTTTCATGATCTAAGATATTCCTTTATCTAACTTCTATATACTTTAACTATCAATAAAAAAATATATAAAAGAATAATTCCGTAACTAAAATGGGTTATCTATTATAAAGACACATGTATTAGTATTAAATTCTTAGTTAAAATTTTAATAAATTAATTTGATGTATAGTTAAGTATCGATTCGTGTTTTTGAATGATCACTTAACAAACCAGAAATTCCTAGCTGGTCGATCTAAACGCGAACACCCTTGCGAAAAGATACAGTTAAACTCAACGTTACAAATGAGATGGAGCTCACTTAATCTGATGTTTAGCCAAGGCTGTGGGTACAACATGCCGCAGCCCTGGCTCAGGTTCAGAAGAAGTAGCGGGGTCAGTAAGAGCCTGAAAAAGCTATATTGAACTTAAATAAATATTGAACTACATATATAACATAGGTATATACCATACATACTGACTGCACGGTTGGTGCGGTGGCTGGGCATCTGGTTGCCGTCGTGTGTCATGGGTTCGATTCCCGCATGGAACAACTCTTTGTGTGATCCACAAATTGTTGTTCCGGGTCTGGGTGTCATGTGACCATGACACAGGAGAAAATACTAGTGTGGGGCAACGTTTTTTAAAGAGAAAAACTAAAAGAAAACATACACACACATAGATATTTATCATACATACACAAAAAGGTATATACATAAATACATATTAAAGTTTCTCAAAAAATATCATTAACTGAAAAATTGTTCAGCTTACGTTGACACCTCTAGCTACCTAAGTACCTGACTCTTATCCGAATTTGCAAATTGTCGCCGCCTCAAATCCTCTCGTAATTGACACATTTTACGACGAGTTAAGTCTTGAACAAACATGATTCAATCATGTACCTACATACATACATATGAACTTTTTGAATACATCCCCACATATATCAGCCTACCTACCTACATTATCTACGTTTCTTTTATTCTATTTATCAAATATTATATTTATAAATCATAAGTACATATGGATGGTTGTTTATACTCGTTTTCCCACGCTTATTAAGAACATTACGAACAAATAACAAATGGTTTATTTATAAATTGAAAAATTGGCAAACAAAATTATATCGAGTGGGTACTTTTTGTTTTGTAAGTATACTTAAGTACTTTACACATTTCATTCTAAAGGTAAAAATAACTTCTTTGATAAATAGGTAACTTTGTCTTGTTCTAAAAAAATTAAGGCTTTTCTTAACTTGCATCTCTTGAATGTTCTACAATGTCTTTATTAACATTTGTTCATCATCACCATCAGCCTATGAATGCCCATCGCTGAGCAAAGGCCTCTTCCCATACGGAAAAGGTTAGAGCATTAATCAGCACGCTTGCTCAATGCGGGTTGACGATTTCAAACTTATAATTAGAAATTACAAGTCCAGGTTTCCTCACGATGTTTACCTTCATCGTATGTCAGTGGTGTCTAAATAATCATAGAAAGTACATATAACTTGGAAAAAGTCACATTGGTACTTGCCAGGTTTCGAACCCATACCCTCATGCATGAGAAGCGGGCGCCTTAACCTCCGGGCCACAACGACTCAAATAACATTTGTTATTTGAACTTATTTCTCAATTGTAACATTTTAAACCACACTTACTTTAGTTATGAATTTACATAAAAACAAATTAATAATTGAATGTAGTTAACCAGTATTCGCAGAAAATACACATGCTCGCATTTCTAATCTAAGCGTTATATAAAATTGATAACCCGTTGAATGACACCTCATTCGAAAAACAATCGTGGCATTGCCTGACTAGGTCACGACAAGACGATAAATAAATAACAAACACATCAGCATAGGAAATGTCTGCACAGACGTTTGTCGCTCGATTATTTATGGAATTTAAAATGTGTTGCGGCATTCATGAATACGCTGGCAAAATATAGAGTGACACATGCATGAGTAGTTAGCTACCTACCGTGCTTTGTTTTGGCTGAGGGATGAATAGAATGGGATAGCAGACCCGCAGGGCAGACAGAGTCACACCACATCACAGACTTTGGAAGAAGGCTTTACAAGTTCATATTTTATTCATTTATTTCGGTTTAGTACGAATAGTTTTGAGGATGGATCGGATGGAAGATGTATGTTAGTTACAGTTTAAGGTTCTCCTTGTTCTTATCACAATGAATTGTTTGTGCTTCTCAAAGTTGATTAATAAGTTGTTTATTGCTGTGTCCCCAGGTGATGCATCAACGATGAGTCGCCGCGCGCGGCCGTGACATGGGAGCGCAGGCATGGGCTGGCGCGCCGTGCAACCGCCGCACATCGCCGCCGGCTTGCTCCTACTGCTGCTAGTTAACCTGCCAGGTATCCACGATATTAATAATAACTTCTCTGTAGATAACCGCTTGCTTACTACCGTGAGTAAGTAGAGTAACCTAAGTATTGAGAAGTAACCAACTGACATATAGAACCGTATTTTCTCGTCTGCGTGTATTAAACCAAAATAAACTTCTCGGTGCAGTAACCTGCCACCAAGACCACCAAGATGCTGTGCACATCACGGCCATCCTCGGCGAAAGCGTGGTGTTCAACTGCCAGGTGGACTTTCCGGAAGACATCCCGGTGCCGTACGTGTTGCAGTGGGAGAAGAAGGTAGGCGAAACGGTACGACGGTCCACACTCCACTCTTACAATACAACGCTGCTCATCTACCGTGTGTGTGTTTCTGTTCAGTAGAGTTCGGCTCGTCCGCGCGACGCGCCCCGCAGAATGTAAAGTATATCTCGTGCTGTGTCGGCTCCGACACCTATATTGTCCCGTGCTAGTGGTAAAGCGCGGGCGCCGCGGGCCGGGGGCGCCGCCCCAGCGCCCTCGCCCCGCGCGCGCCCTCCGCACGCCTTTTGTGTATCTCTGCCTCTTCTGCGTATTGCCTCGTGTACCTACCGCGCTCGTCACAGACCGGTTCGACATACACCACAGTGATAAAGGCCTTCAAAGCGAGTCCGAGAGAGCAGCAGACCCCCGTTAGAAACGAACATACACATACACGCCACTTTACATGTACAATAAGATTTTTTCCTCGTATTATTTTATTTGGGTGCACCGTTGTTATTCTGAGATAGTATCGGCGCACCATCGCTTACACGGCTGACACGGGGCACGCGCACTCTCCGCGCACTGGCGGCGGTTCTGTCTGTTTCTCTCTTCCTGTGGCTGTGGGCTTCTCCCACGCTCTGTCGGCAATTGTAGATTCATGTAATCTTACTTGACATACTTCCTGTACTTATTTCTCGTTACTCATCCAAGTGACTGCACAGTTGATCTCTTGCATGCTGTAGTGCTTCAGTTTTCCCGTTTCCACTTTTTGCATGCTACAACAATAAACGAAATCTAAATAAAATATTGATTAATTAAGCTTTTGTAATACCTAATTTCTCCATATACTGGGTATCAAACGAGGTCCTAAAAATGAATAATTGCAAGTAAATTCATGCAAAATAAACTTTTATTCATTACTATTCGTAGGTACACGTATGAGTTTCATAATTTGTTATGGTCATCCTTGCATGTTTCAGTAGTTTTCTTTTTCAACTAAGTAGATAGATTTTATCTTGTAAACGTAAACCAATATTACTCCACGTGCAAACGTGACCGGATTGCACGTCACGTTACAAGATGAAGCATCCGACTCTGTCCGTGTTTTGTGAAAACGCATCGCATCGTTTTGAACGCTTTAGACAGATTGGAAATGTGTAGCGCCAAGAACAGTTGTGCGGCGAAATGTATTTAGCCCATAATAAGTATTTAGCTGTATGTAAGCTAAGTGGTAGACGTAACAACTTCGCACCAGCTCTATGTCAGAGGCTAACATGTGGTCCTGTGTGTGTAGGGACAGGACATCCCGATCTACATCTGGTACGAGAGCTACCCGACGCACAGCGGCGAGGGCTACGAGGGCCGGGTGTCGCGCGTTGCGCCGGACTCGCCCTACGGCGCAGCCAGCCTCAACCTTACCAATATCCGCGAGTCTGATCAGGTGTCGTAACGTTCCAACTATTATTGTGTCTTTAAAATAATAAACAGTACATATTAATGAGATATTATTTATCATCCAACAGGGTTGGTACGAGTGTAAGGTGGTGTTCCTCAACAGGTCACCCAATCAGCACAAAAATGGCACATGGTTCCACTTGGACGTGCACGCGCCACCACGCTTCTCCATCACACCGGAAGACATTATTTACGTTAATTTAGGTAAGTTTTTGTTCTCAAGTATTTACTATGAAACTCGAATAAGGTTTCGATCACATCTTTGTTCCGATCGAAAATTTAAGTGAATCCTTTAACATTTCCAGGAGATGCCATCATCCTCAACTGCCAAGCAGAGGGCACGCCCACGCCGGAGATCCTGTGGTACAAGGACGCAAACCCGGTGGAGCCGTCAGGAACCGTGGGCATCTTCAACGACGGTACAGAGCTACGCATCAGCAACATCAGGCACGAGGACATTGGAGACTACACGTGTATCGCACGCAATGGCGAGGGACAGGTGTCACACACCGCGCGGGTCATCATCGCCGGAGGAGCCGTAATCACTGTATGTCTATAAGCCACTTTACTACTTAAGATCTTTTATACATAATTCTTTAACTTGCCATTGGATGTGCTAACCATTATGGGTTACTTATCCCTCTTATCTATTATATTAACTTTCCAAATTTGATCCTGTAAATAAAATGAGCAATAATCAACATCGTTGTAGAAATTGCAGATGAGAAACGGTTGTTGAATTATCTATAGCAACTGGCAACTTGTCTCTCGACAGAGGTATCCTCCAAGCGCGCCCATATTGGTTAACCAAAAATGTTTGTACTATATAGAACCTCATTTGCCAATAATAACATTTTCTGCAGATGCCACCAACAAACCAGACGAAGTTAGAAGGAGAGAAAGTTCAGTTTTCATGTGAAGCAAAAGCATTACCGGGTAATGTAACCGTGAAATGGTTCCGGGAGGGCGCACCGGTGGCCGAGGTGGCAGCACTGGAGACTAGGGTCACTATCAGACGCGACGGAGCGCTCGTCATCAATCCTGTGGCCGCTGATGACTCGGGACAGTATCTATGCGAAGTTTCCAACGGAATAGGCGACCCGCAAAGCGCATCGGCCTATTTGAATGTTGAATGTGAGTTTTTTTGTATTTCTTACTCCTGTTCTGTCTCTTCTGTGCCCTTAAGGCTTAAGTCATTCTGTCTCCTGCATTAAATTTACCGAGTTAAGTGGAAACTATTTTGTTTTTTCTTCTCCTCAAATAATGTCTTCTGATTTATTTCGTTGCGGGATTCAAGACAGTCATTTAAGTCCCTGGGACGCGCCGGACTGCAGTGTTCCGGTGTTTTCATGGTTGTATCTACTGTAGTTCCTGGCTTACAGGATTTGCAGCGGTTTTGCGAGATTGCGATGAGCTTGCCCCAAAAATTTCTTACTCCTGATTCTGTTCTAGTGTTTTTGTTGTTTACCAACTAAAGATGTATATTGTCACAGATCCAGCAAAAGTAACGTTCACACCGACCGTGCAGTACCTCCCCTTCCGGCTAGCAGGAGTAGTCCAGTGTTACATAAAGGCGAACCCTCCTCTGCAATACGTCACGTGGACGAAGGATAAGCGGCTCTTGGAACCTTATCAGACTAAGGATATTGTGATCATGAACAACGGATCCTTGCTGTTCACCAGGGTCAACCAGAACCATCAGGGTCGATATACTTGCACACCTTACAACGCACAAGGAACTCAAGGGTCATCTGGTAAGTCGTAAAACTGGGAGTAAAAAGAAATAAATCTTATGAAGTATTTGTAAGAGAGTAATGTTACGTTCGTTTACAGGTCCGATGGAAGTTTTAGTTCGTAAACCGCCTGTGTTCACAGTGGAGCCAGAACCGTTGTACCAAAGAAAGGTAAAGCTATCAGTATTTTCTTTCCGGATGTTCCCTTTTTTTTGTAACTGTTGTCTAAATCTTTCAAATACTTACTTACAATTTTATATAATACTAGCTAATATCGCGCGGTTTCATCCGGTGCTCGGCTCCATTTAATCATAGCGTGATGGTTTATAGCCTATAGCACTCAAGAACATTGTAGCTATCTATCAGTGAAAGATTTTGGCAATCTGACCAGCGGTTCCAAAGATTACCCCCACCAATTAAACTTTTAAACATACAAATTTTACCTCTTTATAATATTATACTATAGATATACTTATTTTTTAATACTACTATAATTTTACCTAATGAATTTTAAATTAATCAAGTAAAATACTATTAGAATACTATTATATTGGATGGTAAGCCATCAGCACCGCTCATGGACACCCGCAACACCAAAGGGGTTAGAAATGCTTTGCCGGACTTTTAGGGATAAGGGTTTCAGATATTTAAGGTTTGGGAAGGGATGGGTGGAGGGGGAGGTATTGGGCCATCAGTAACTTCACTCACACGGCGAAACACAACGCTGTGGTTGTTTCACGCCGGTTTTCTGTATGGCCGTGGTATCACTCCGTTCAAGCCGTTACATAATGGCGATGTGGTACATAATGTTGTGTGGGTAGGTGGGCGAGTCGGTAGAGATGCACTGCGAGGCGCAGGAGGCGGAGGGCACGCAGCGTCCGAGCGTGACGTGGCGGCGCCGCGACGGCCTGCCGCTGCAGAAGAGCCGCGTGCGCGCGCTCGCAGGGAACATCACCATCGACACGCTGCGCCGGCAGGACTTCGGCATCTACCAGTGCGTCGCCTCCAACGAGGTATGCAAATTAAACGTTACGGTAAAACGGACTGAATAGACACAGAATAGGGTTGGAAAAATTCTAGGAAAATTTGCCAACATCACACATCACCCCTTTCGTGTATCTACCTGTTTTACGGTATGTAACTATTGTGATTGTGAGACATAGTTCACGCTGCTAGTGCTTTTCTTACTTAATTCATATGAGTACGTCCTTAAATTACGTTTAAGTTTACTACGTCCAAATTTTATTCATCAGCTAGTCCCTAAGCGACTTGTTCCTCACTACATCTGGCAGTTAATAAACTCTAGTTAGCATCTTAACCGAAAATAATTCAAGTGAGAAAAAGAGTGGTTTCTTGATCCATATTATTTGTTCATCAAAGCTTTTATCAGAATATCTGCAGCCTAAGCGGCAAAAAATCAAAATCATTACTCCATTTATCCAATACATTTTTGCAAATTATTAAAGTAGAAATCTCAATTAACATTTTTAGTGCCATCCATATATTTCTGACATGCATGTGTATATATATTAATCCAGTATCAACACTAAATATATTTTCTATTTTTGTTGGAACAGAATTTTTGACTGAGTAGGTACATATTCTATGGATGTTGGACCTCAATTTTGATTGTTCTGCGACATATGTTTCTAAAACAGTTTATTTTGGCGTTAACTTTGAGTATGTCGGTATACGTAGGTGGCGACGATAGTGGCGGACACGCAGCTGGTGATAGAGGGCACGCAGCCGCACGCGCCGTACAACGTGTCGGGCACGGCCACCGAGTTCCAGGTCACGCTGCGCTGGCAGCCCGGGTACGCCGGCGGGCCCGACTACAAGCAGGACTACACCATCTGGTACAGGGAGGCCGGCTTCTCCGAGTGGACCAAGGTCCCCGTCACGCCCTCTGGTGCTACTTCTGTGAGTATTCGCCATTGCATGAAAAAGGACTTTAAATTTGGTGACATTTAATAGAGCATTTTAGCGGTAGTAGCGATTTCTTATCAACCGAACCCTTGAACGAGCTTCAACTCTGTGAAAAAATCTTACAAAAACTTCCAATGTTTATAAATTTACATACAATCTACACATAGTCGAAAAGAATAGAACATTCACGGGCTGTTCAAATCTGGAGTAAGCAAATAAGAGTATATTGCTGTTTACAAAGTGTCTGGCAGTGGCTACAAGTGCTTTCCCTTTAATAATTTAGTCATAGTTTTGTAGTAAATCAATTGCGTAGCAGCTACACCGGGAACTCTACGGCGTTAGGACTACGTCGTAGACTCGCTACGAAAATACGAAAATAATTATGATAATAAATTAAGTAACTGGTCATATTCTTTAGTATTTTAATAAGTCCTGTTTAAATAACTCAGGAGTTATTGTATATACATGCCACTGAACTCGATCCTCGCATGTAATATGATATATGTAGCCGTTGGTTCTATTGAAGTTTATTTAATCTTATATATGAAAATGGATCGCAAAATGTGTTGGTAAGCGCATAACTCAACAACGTCTTAACCAATTTTGCTAATTCTTTTTTTGTTGTGTTTGTTATTGTGAGAAAAATAAAATTTAGAAAAGTAGAGGGGAAGAATAGGAAAAAGTGACCCTTTGTTAGCAAGATAGTTGGGACCCGTGCGAAGCGGGGGCGGGCCGCTAGTTTGTAATAATAATAAATATGGTTTTTCTCTCAGGTCACAATAAATCGACTGCAACCTGGAACCACGTACGAGTTTCAAGTGAACAGTAAGAATACGATAGGGGAAGGAATGATGAGTAAAGCAATTACAATAAGAACACTCGGTGAGTGCTGCAAGATAGTTTATATTACGTGTATGTGGTTATTAACATTGGTGTTACTTAACATGACTATTGTTGATAAAGTTGTTGTTTTAACAATTAATATGGACATGGATATGGTTAATAACTTATGTATGTAAAGGAGTACAATTGGATAGTTTCCTACGTCAAAAATAATTTAAATCGACCTTCCAATGTTTCAAAATATTGAAAAATAACAATAGTTACTTTTATGCATCAATCTGTCGATACACTTTTAAAAAATAAGTAAGAAATTTGACGCAAATATACTATTTTTTTGTGAGTGGAAATTCATCTAATGGCTTCTCCCGCCCAGGGAGGGAGTGTCAGACTCTTACTGACTAAAAACCCCCCTGTTCCTTCTCCTGCACTGGGCCGAGGTCGCGGTGCCTCATTGCGCTTACCCCGCATCCCCGGCTAAATATACTATGACGTCAAATTTTGAGTCTTATATCATAGAAAAGTATTGTTTTTGACATTTGGATAACAGTATTGAATTTGACTAGTTGGAAACTACCCAGGCATTGAAGAAACAAACTAACTGTGTCGGTTTAGTTGGAGTTAGAGGTGGGTCGTTAACTTGAGATTGCTTTTTTAGATGTAGGCGCCAAGCCGAAGGCGGCTCCCACGCCGGCGGGGCCGGTAGACGAAAAGATATTCCAAAACGCACCCGAAGGCTCCGGTATATACACAAAAATGTTGCACAAACCTTCACATTACATCCCCATCATCTCATATAACCAGTGCTTTAGAATACAGTCGTAGATGTTAACGTGTGTCGGTACTTAGTTCGTGCATGGTATATATACAATAAAATTGTTATTTGTTCTTGTTGTATTGTCTGTGTGTAGAACTCATCCCTTATAATGATTGCATGTTTAATTTTGATAAAATCATAACACCACGGTTTATTTTTGTTAAAGTTTATTTGACTGCGAACATTCTTAAATGACTTCCATTTTTGAATCACAGTATATTACCTAAACATAGATCACAATTCTACACATAGTTATAAACTTTTTCGTTGACTATTGATATATACATATATAACATAACATTAGACATAAAACCATATTATAATCATTTTTCTACCGCACTTCACTACTCTCAACCTCATTCAGTTTTTATTTAAAATCGCTAACTTAAGCAGTGTCGGATTAACACAAGGGTAACAATAACTATGGACTTGCGTAGTTTAAGGGGACCACGCTCGTTTGAGGGGCCCATACGGAAGGGGATAGATTCTAAATAAGGGTCCCTTAATCTATACTAAAAAAAAAACAAATGAGTTGCTAAACTCAAAAGTAAAAAATCATCTATTTCAATTAGACCCTTACAGGCACATTTAAACGTCAAAAAAAATTTTTAAAGATATAAAGTGTCAGTATGTCGGTCAGTCCTCTTAGTGAAGCTATCTGCTCGTTCCAAAGAGAGAAGAACGATAAAGAAACTTTTTTTTCAATAAGTTTCACATAGTTTACTACGGGTACCGTGTGTTTAATCCGTCACTGTGTATTTTGTGAAGCACTTTCTAAGTTGTCTGGGTATTTAGGTCCGAAGTCAGGTCCGCCGCGCAACCTGACCGTGACGGAGGTGCACAACGGGTTCCTGATCACGTGGCAGGCGCCGCTGGAGCGCTCTCACCTCGTGCAGTACTACACCATCAAGTACCGCACCGACGCGCAGTGGAAGACCCTCAACCGAGGACAGATACGACCCGAGGAGACCAGCTACTTGGGTAACTATTCTAGCGTAACACTACGCTTACATTATATCTTATTATTTTCACTATTTTTGTTATGGGATAGGACGGCAAACGATCAGGCGTGGCTTAAGGCTTAAGCGAGTTACGAGTGCGTTGCCGACCTTTTGGGGATAAGGGTTTCGGATATTTAAGGACTGGGACGGGATAGGGGGAGAGGCCAGGATTGGGCCTCCCATAACCCACTCACAGGCGAAACACAACGCTCAGGTTGTTTCAGGCCGGTTTTCTGTAAGGCCGCGGCATTATTCCGGTCGAGCCGACTTATGAGCCGAAGCTTGGCTCTTCCTAACAGACGTCATCTCATCACAAACTCCGTATTTCTTAATACATACATTACACAATTTGTTCGCCTATACAAAATAATTTAAGTACACAATAATTAATAAGTTAGGTATTTTTCTAAATCATCTTCCGAATAAAACTAAACATAATATCGGTACTAGATAAATTTCTAAATTATCCTATGAGATATGTACAATTCATGTTCAGTCTAAACTAAATTAGAGAATAACAATTTCATATATTGTTAAACAGTAGCCATTCAGTGGAAACATTAGGCTTTTTCCGCTGAATGGCTACTGTTTTACACAAAAGAAAAGTTGCCTTGCACTAGCATTTTATCCTGTGTTGTGGGTGCGTTTACAAACATACAATTTCACTTACACATCACACCAAGACCCGGAACAACAATTTGTGGATCACACAAAGAGTTGTTCCGTGCGGGATTCGCACCCGCGACACGTTGCGCTGCAGCCAGTTACCCAGCCACCGCGCCAACCGTGCAGTCAGCCTTAACTTAGTTAAACTAGTAAAATAATCAGATCATAAGATTGCAGTGAAACAAGAAAGTAATATTAATCCAATTTCAGTGAAGAACCTGGTCGGAGGGCGCACGTATTACTTCCGAGTGCTCGCTAACTCGGCGACGAGCTACGAGAGCTCGGAGGAGGTGAAGTTCCCGGTGCCTGCGCGGGTGAAGCACAAAGCGATCACGGCGGGGGTGGTGGGGGGCATCCTCTTCTTCATCGTGGCCATCATCCTCTCAGTCTGCGCCGTCAAGATCTGCAACAAACGTAAACGACGTAAGCAGGAGAAAGGTAAGGCGCGCACTGCGGCCGCTAGTCCGCTACCGGCGCTATTACTTCCCGCGATCTTGAACAGCACTAGCTTCTACGGAACTTCCTAATACCTGCTACAACTGGCTAGTTACAACATAACTCTATAACTCTTGCATCAATAATAGTATTATTCCTATACTGAATTTGATCTTTTGAAATAGATTTGAAAACTGAAAACTGAACTTAAAAATATTAAGTTAAAAGTAAGTCATAAAACCATCGGCTATGTTGGTAACAAAAAAAAAACAAAAACGTTTACCCATAGCTCTGAGGCGTAAAGTACTTTCTAGAAGATAGACAATATTGCCAGTAGTTTGAACTACTTGTACGTGGTATAAATAACACCAAGTTCCTTAGGCTCTTTACATAAATAAAACATTTATCGCAAACAGTTAGACTTCCTTACATAACTTACCATATTGTCGGCATATTACATATTCGTTCGTGTATTATCTGCTTATTTCATACACATTGACATTTCCTTTCGAAGCTTTTTGCATGACTTTATATTTATGTAAATTTTGCATTTTTGTGTTACAGTAAGGTAAGAATAAGTGTACCTTTAGTTAACTAGACAAGAATCGACTAGTTCATTAGTACGTTTGTGTTGCTGAAATATGTATCTAGAGCTACGATATGGATTGCTTCCTGGCGATGTACTAATTACTGTACCGCAAATGAGGTACTTGAAAAGGCTCGATGCGATAGACGTGTAACACAGTATCCGATAATTAAAGTATATCTCTCTTATTTTATTTTGCTAAACAAAACAACTTTGCGCAATAAACATTGCTATCAGTAACGAGTCGCTGTTGTTCCTTTAGTGGTACGAGTAGGTACTTAGACTCATAACTCAAATGTATTTTGTACCAAAACAATACTTGGCGTTACTTATAATTTTGTGTTATGCATGTCTGGGCACATTTTATTCCTACTCTGTTTATTACTGTTTATCCACATTCTCGTCCCGTTGCTCTCGTAATCACGAGAACATCTCATTACTGCATAGTTTCATCACTCAACGTACACTGGAATGAACGACTTAACCCACAAAATCAACGCATACTTGAAGCTAGCGTCAGTTGTTTGATGAAGTCTTACCTATGAACATAATAAGTATGAAGAAAGCAGTATGTAGTGTCCATTCCAGTGTTGGTTGTGTTTTGGTTGACAATATGGTGGGTGGCGGGTGTGGTGGTAGCGTGGGTGGCGGGCGGCGGCCGAGGCTGGGTCGGGGAGGGAGCAACACTACACTACGTTAATGTTCAGAAATTATTCGATTGCAGCATACAACATGGTAGCCGCGCGACTGACAGATCTCCGCGCCGCTGATAGCACTCAAGTGCCTTTTAAAAAGTAAGTAGCCGGCCCAAATCCAACAATTGATTGTAACATACTCATTTCCTTATTTGGTGCTTTCGAACTATTCTAACTCTTTAATCACTACATTCACGCTGCTTGAAACAGGAAATCAGGTTAGTTGTCTGAAACCTCTTCTCTGTATGCTGTTGTGATATGATATGACGTCATATGAGTGTGGCTAAATATAAGGTTTGTGTTGACACAGATTTAGAGAACGCGGAATATCGAGTATAGTCCAGTGTTTGCGGTTCACTGCAAACTGGGTGTGGCCGGCATCGCGCTGCGGAGGCTCGGCGCACTACTGGGCGTCGGCGCGCAGCGTGTCGGCGGCGCCGTCGGCGTCCCCCGCGCCGTCGCTGGCGCCGTCCTCGTCCGACGACGGCGGCTTCCTGCCGCGCCTCCGGGCTCCGCTGCGGCCGTCGGCGGCGCCTCCGCTGTTCCGCGCGTCTTCGCCAGCGCTAGCGCTGCACTGGCCTCCGTGGCCGCCGTGGCCCCCGTGGGCGGCGGCCTGGACCCCCTGGTCACCGCTGCACGTGTCTGACCTCAGCTCCGTGCCCTTCCCGAGTTCTGCCGATGGCTCATTCCCTACGCCTCCGTCTCCATTCCGCCTCAGATCGTTGCGACAGAGCGCTCACGACCCGCTCCGCGCCGCTACAGGCCCGCTGGCCAGACCCCGCGCCCGCCCCCTTCCGCGCCACGCTCGGCCGCGAGCGGTAGCGGACTTGCCGCCGCCTCCCCACGAAGCGTCGCCTGAGAGTCGTTCCTCGTCCAGCGGGTTCGGTAGCAAGAACGCGTCGTCCTCGCAACACAACCGCAGCAGTAGAACAGGCAGCCTGGCGGAGTGGCGGCCGCCCCCGTACCGGCCGCCGCCGCCAGCGCCGCCGCCGCGGCCGGGGTCGGGCGAGGTGGGCGACGCGGGCTCGGTGGACGTGCACTACGAGTGGGACCGCGCCACGCGCACGCCGACGCCGTCGACGCCGGAGCGCACGCGCGCGCGGCCCTCGCGGGACGACGTGGAGGCGCGAGTGCGCGCTATGAAGGAGGAGTTCCTCGAGTTCCGCAAGCGCCAGGCGCTGCGCCGTCGCTCCCCGGAGCCGCTGGCGCCGCCCCCGCCGCTGTCGCCGCTGTCGCCGCTGTCCCCGCTGTCTCCGCTGGCCGCGCTGGCTCACTCGCCGGCCGCGCCCGCCGAGACTGTCTGCTGATCATTCGCGAGCGACATGCTTTCAATGATCGCTTTGCTTCCCACCGACCCAATTTGGTAAAACAATGCGCTTCAACTATGTACAGATTTGGTGAAGCAATAAGTATATAAATTCCGAATTTACTTCAGCGAATACTTAATTATTATTATTTGAATGTAACACTTTAGCTTGAGCAAACCTATTGAATATCGGGCAGGAACGGTGATCGACTATCAAATTCGGCAGTCGGTAAATTTTCATTATTTATTAAGTAGAGCCCAATGACCTACAAAACAGGGGCTATTTGGAAGTAGATATTGATTTGGTACGTTCACTGTTTATGTAGTGTTAAAAGATCCCACCAGGTGACTGGCGTTACGACCACGCCGCCGGTAACCATTATTATAAATATAGATACTTAGGAAATGATGACTAAAGTCGCACAAGAATATTTGCGACTGTAATAATGTACGTATAAAAAGTGGATGCCGTGACGATTCTTGTTCGCACTGTCTGCTTTCCTATCTGATAAATGTGTCAATTAATTGTTCGAGGCAAACGAACTCACGGCCGTTCATTACAACATGGCAACATGAAACCATAACAGCAAACGCACATGGCTGTATTTAATTAAATACTGTGTTATGTACAAAAGCCACTAGACTAATGCATCCACGGAACAACGAGTGATCACTGTGAACCGATGGCTTGTTGCCTGGTCGAAGCCGTATGCAGATATTGTTTTATGAGCGTGAAGCAGTAACGCGGCGGGCAGGCAGTGCGAGAGACGTTCACCTTAACGCTTTAGGTATGAGCGGGTAGCATCCACGACACCGCTCATACCAACATTATATTGTAGTTATTATTGTAACTAATTACGAATAACGATTTACTAAGGGCGGCGGCGACTGGCGGCCGGGCCCGTACCGCGCCGCGCCGCCAGTCCCGGCCGCTCCTTTATAATATACAACAAAATAATCATTAAGTAGAATTTAGAAATAATTTAGATTGATACAAAACGTATAAACTCAGTTTTGTTTGACATTTTTAAATGAATTATTATTTTAAAAGTACAAATTTATTTTTATTAATTTTATTTATGTAGTTACAATAATTTAAAAGGAACAACTGTACATATGTAAAAACATATTAGATATTATACTTATACATTTATTTATTTAGGTGTGGTGTGGTATGATTGAGGTTCTGAACAACTGTTTGCCAGTGTTTGTGACTCGTGAGGCACTACACACTGTTGCCATTAGACACTGCCGACTAGGAACTTCCCACGTTTATATTATGTAATTACTATTGATGACTAAACTTATTGTTTTATTCTTGTGTGGCTGATGATGACCTACCTGACATAACGATGCGACTTGCTGAGTCAATGCCCAAAGTATTCGCAAAGGTTCAATCAATTCTTTTCGACTCCACTCAAATGACGTTGAGTAAGATTTTTAAGAATTTTGTATGTGATTTTTTTAATCTATTTTTACAGTCCGTTACGGGGTATCAAATTGGTTTTGTTATTTTACACAAATAATAATACAATTAACGTATCGGTTCCTTGAGTAATCCCACCTATGTAGTTGACCAGTCAAAACCAAGACTGTTTAGTGTTATGTTCGTTATTAGGTTTACTTATTGTGTCAAATGTGCTCTTAGATATTTCCTTGCATGCACGTCGCACTTTTTGTACCTATTGTTTGTAACGCAGAATTTTTTTATTCAAATATCGAGTTAAGGACCTCCTAAAATAAGTATAAAAATGTACGCTTTAAAGAAATTGGAATAAATTACTCATAACAAATAGATAGGTAGGTATGATAAGGTGTAGTTATTTCTGTGCGTGCATGGAAGCGTCTGGTACGGAGGAATACGGCGCGTGGCGTCGGCGGGCACGCGGCGGACACGCGGCGTGCCGTCCGCACTGAGTATTGTTACGTCAAGGACAGCGAACAAGCGCATCATTAGTTCACTGCTGATGACGGTGTAGACTTAAGCTACGTATAACGACACAATAGATCCTTGTTTTTGTTATATTTTTACTTGTTCTCTAACTTCCGCCATAGCATACACTTAGAATATTAGGATGACGATATGTGCAATAAATTATCCACAGTTCCATGATGATTTTGTAATATGTTAAAATAACTATGTATGTATGTATGTAATGCTCAATAATTTCGACTGACCAACTGTAAAAATATTACTTATTGATAAATATCGAAGTCACTATATAGTTTGTTTCGATTTCATTATGCTTTCGTATAGAATGCGATTGGAGAAAATGGTAGAGTAACGCAATCAGATATTGCTGGGCAAGCTTACTTTGTGGCCGAGTGGCCAGCACTCGTGCAGGTGCCTAATTCGTAATAAATTCTCGTTTTGTTGACCGTGGCGGGCATATCACGAAACTATAAAGTAATAGTCTTGTTTTTACAAGTTTTACCTTTTTGTACTTATAGAATTGTAAATATTTGTTTGATTAATTTGATGTCATCGCGCGAGTGATACGAGCACACATGTATCGCACACAATACGTAGGTGCACGACTACATTCGAGTAGTTTGCGTAGGTTTTATATTATAATGCCTAAATCACTCGTTTAACTGAAATTATATTTAAATGCGATCATTGTAACAACCACCAAGACTTGAAATTCAATTAACGTGAGCTGTTCACAACGTATGTACCTACTTAGGTATTGTTTTGACAAATTTATTATAATTGTACGTACAAGAGTAAGAAACAAGAGTAATATATACATATAGCTCAAACCATGTGATATCTAGTCTTTTCCATTATAAAATTATCCTTCCTTTACTTACTAAAATTTTCATTATAAATCGCATTTTCACTTATTTTAACCTTTACAGATAATTTGTATATCTATGACTGCCTTCTATTCGTCTGAGAGCTCTGAACTCTATCGATATCATAGGAACACACAAGTAAGCCCACTGTCGAAGCACTTGCATTTCTTCAACGGTCTACACACTCAACTTTATCGTCCAATTATTTCATAAACCTAAGTGAAGGCTAAGAAGTTACTGCATTGCTGGATAAATAGCCCGAACATCATTCGACAATCTCTAGACTAAAATGAAAAAGATAGCAATATATTAGATTAATGTAACTAAATCGTATGTATCAGTTTGTATAAAGGAAAGTAAGTAAACGAAGTTATTGCACATTGGCAGAATGTATTGCGGTGAAACAGGGCACCCAAATATTAAAAACTTAAGGCATAATGCACAATATCTCAGCACAATAAGTGATATTATAAAATACTCGAATCTTCAAAATATCATACTGAGCACTTTAACTGTTACTCCAACAAGTCCACAATAAGTTTGCCTCGATTGAAAATAAAATATGCACGAGCAACATTTTTATAAATCGAGTAAATATCCATTTTCATTTATAGAATATTTTTAGTTATAAGTGTTGAGATCATGTGTTTACTGTGTAAGCACAAAAAGGATTCAATTCAAAAAAATAAAAATACAATAACGTTGCTATGATTACATGGTTGTATTATTTTTACCTTGAGTTTTTGAATGTCGACAACTGTTGCAGGCTGATCCTCCGCTAGCGTCGGACAGTATTGTCCGACATGGCGTTCTTAGTCTTAATTGAATTGGTAAGTAACTTAAATGAAAATATTACAGAAATGGACCCATACAATGAAACCCGCCTAGTATTTTGTTGCCTGTGCGTAGTTGACAACTGAACTGAATTGAATTGAAGGTGAAAGCACAAAATACGAAGGAATTTCAAAATTGAAATCAAGTAGCGGTATAACGGGGTGAATAGGTACAATAGGTAAGTATGCTATTTACTATGAGAGTGCAAAAGTCACGCGTCGGAAGTGATTCTTTGAGTAGGTTAATCCGCGTTCACAGCACTATGGTGTTGCAGCAGAAGTGGAGAACTGGAGACCCACGTCGGCGTTGGCGCCAATCAACCAATCTGTCAGGGACACATAGACACGACAAAGCTGCGTTATCCATTTTTCGTCATATTACTCCCATAATAAAAAAGTGAAGGAGCAAATTTCCTTCTTCCTCTAAAATAACATACCTATGCAACTTACTCGTAGGTTGAAGCTAGACATAGTAAAAAAATCATCCAGGAACTCGCTAACATTTGCTTTGCAGTGTAAGTAAATGACGAGAAGACACTTAATTACTAAGAGATAAAATTCTAAAACATGGCTTGTGATAAGAGAAAAATGCATATATTTCCTGGATAGCTAAGAATAATCCAAATAAGTCAAGTCAATACCCCAACGCCAACGGCAGCACATACACGTCGAAATGATTCCCAAACTGGCATTTATACTATCTGCATTAGCAACAGGTAAAAATAATATTTATTAGATAGTATTTTACCCAAAATGTTTTTGGTATACATTGTATATATTCATGGTACAGGTTTTTGGAAGGTTTTATTTAATGTCAAATCCAGTCAATCACATTTATCTATGCTACGGGCTACGAACGTATCCAAGTGGCAGTTAAAATAATTTTTTTATACATTACACATTCTACATATTTGTTACAGCGTCTTACACGTTTGCTCTCGAATATCAAAACGAACAGGGGCCCGAATATGGAGAAGAATGGATTTATTTTTACGATGACAATGGAAACACGCATACGATGAATTTTTCTATTCTACCACAGGAAACGCGGGGAATTATTTTTGGAGACGCTTACTATTATTTATACACAAGGTACTTACTTTTGATATAATAAAATCCCTGCCGTCTATACACGATAATTAACGAAACCTCAAAATGTGTGGAGCATCGGGTTGATCAACTACAAAATTAAATGTAACGATACACTCGACAATGATAAAGTTTTCATGTAAGATGTAGCCCAAGACAAAGCCATAACTACATTACATAGCCGCGCTGTCAAAAACTGATCAGATCTTATGAATGGGTCATTTTTCAAAAGTCCTAAATCTAAAACCCCATTTTCAGCGATATACTTCAGCCTCAACTC